CTCCCTCCACAAGATTAATTATAGTATACTAATTGTTCTATCCCTTATTTTTTTACCAGTTGATATATTTCAAGAACTATTTATATATCAGCTCCTTTAGATCCACTTCATGCTTATTAATAGGTACAACATATCCCCTTGTATGGTCAGACTAAAGGAGAGATCACTGATATTTTTATTAGTTACATAAAAAGTGAAAACTAATTTTCAAATTTTCCTCATTGGTTACTAATTATATTTAATATAAGTTGGTAGCATGAGCACAATGGTCCAACAATCTAAAAATAAAATTTCATAGGACACATTATTCATTATATAATTTACTCTAAGTAATTGAACACCAGCATCCTAACCTTTGTACCTATTGCCAAATTCTTCCCATTCCTCTCTGCCCTCACACTATGCACAACAAATGTGTACAATTGTTATGTATTGCTTATAAATAAAATTTTAAGCTATACAATGAAAAAGTTCCCTTATACTTCTGAATCCTGACACTCTCCTTTAACAACTAATGTTATCAGTCTTTGTGCATCTTTTCAGAGACATAGGTATATCTATGAAAGATAGATACTAAATAGAGATAGACCAAAGATTTTTTCATAAAAGTAACAATATATTAGAAATTATTTTTTTCATTCAAAATACATGTGGAAACTCACTCCATACCCTATACATAAAGTGCTGCCTTATTTATTATTTGTTGTAGACATAATGTACCACACTAAATTGGGATCTAGATTTGCCTTTATGAACATTCACTTTGACAACATATGAGGATATCATCATATATGTCATTAGGTGATCTGTCAACTGTGAAATCACTAACAAAAGCAAATTTCCAAATATGCAGGAATAATGCTCAGGCTATGGATACAACTGAACATAGTAAGTTGGGAACTGATAGTTCAATCAGAGAGTTGGTGATCAGGAAGCATTACTCTTTCATAAAGAGCCATGAAAATATGCAATCAGATTGATCTGGCTCTATCACTTCATAACTATATGGCACTAGACAAGTTACTGGACAGTTTTAAACCTTCTTTCCTCATCTATAAGATGATGATAATGGTACCAACATCAAAATGTGGTTATGAGGATTCAGTTTACAAAAGTCTAAGTTAACCATTGCCTCAACTGGCACATGGTAGCTGCTTAATAAAATTTAGTTGTTTTCAGATGAGAATATTTCTGTGTATTAAGAAGGCAGGGACTAAGGGAGAGCTAGGACAAATAAGATTTTCTATGTTCTTCACTTCTCCCCTTCAGAACATTTTTATATAATCTGATAAATTATATACATCATGAACGTATTGATATCACACCTAATAATAATAAAAATAATACAATTAATGCTTATATAGTGCTATTATGCCAGGCATTATTTTAAAAGCTTTACATACATGAATTCATTTAATTCTCACAACAATCCTATAAATAGATCATGTCATCAGTACATGTTTTTATCTCCTCATTAGGAGAATTAAGATCTGCTTACTTACTGTCCCTGACCCCTAACTACATATTTTATAGTCTTTGCTTATGAAGAAAATAAATAAAATTTCAAAAAGGAATAATAAATATATTATAGTTATTTTTTCATTTTGCAGAGCTTTCCATAAACTTGTAAACTACAGAATTGATGGGGTTCACTGCATCAAAAGTACATTGTAAGAATATATATGTATATATGTGTGTACTTGTAGGTATTTGTGTAAATGTAGATCATGAGAGAATGTTCGAGTAAACTAAGAGTAAGTAGCAGGAACCAAGATACCCAACCAAAATTCCCCAGTATGTGCTAGTATCCATGATTGTATTCCTATTTTCTACTGAAAGATAAGACTACAATCTATAATATTAAAGTTAACTTTCACTGAGCATGTGCTGAGTATTTTAGAGCTGTTATCTCATTCAAGTATACCAATAACTTTATGAAATAGGTACAATTATTTTATCCCATTTTACATTTAAGGAAACTGTCACACAATTACTGATATTTAAGAGAAAGATAAAAGGCAAAACTTTGACCTTTGGAGGGATAAGAAAAACAGACTAAATGGCCTTGTTAATGCTAAATACTAAAAAATACAGGTGCCATTCTGATAGCACAGTCAAAGGAAAAGGAAAATACTTGATTTTGCTGAAAATGATCTTAAGGCAAAGTGAATATACCAGCAGTTTAGAATTTTCTTTCATCTGGTATAAAGAATTTACTCATCTATGTATTCAGGCACCAAAAGATAGCTAGCATTCAAATGCATGTAGGTGACAGAATCTGAGACAGTATATACAGTCTATTGGAGTTAGGTATTAGCATCAATTCCTCCTCCATCTTGATCTTAAATAATTTCTTGGCATTTAATATGCAAATTGGAGATAAAATTCACAAAGTTACTAGTGTGAAATAAGCACTCTATAAATGATAGCTGTTATTATGACAACTAGAGTCCTAGATTTGACCAAAAATTTAACTGGTATCAACCCAGTCTTACATAAAAAATAGGTCAAATTACCTATTTATTATATAATGGCTTTCTCTCAGGCCTTAGCAAGTAAGACTGGAAAGAAACCAGTTTTCTCAAATAATGCTTGAGTAGAATTTCTCAATTTTGCCACTATTGAAAGATTGAGCCAAATAACTCTACTATGGAGAGGGCTGTCCTGTGCATTGGAGTGTGTTTAGCAGCATCCCTGGTACTAATTCCATTGTGAAACCCAAAATGTTCCCATACATTGTCACATGTCCCAGGATGGTCAATCCCTCCCCACCCCCAACCATTTCTCTAGAGAAAGGAAGAAAGTTTTAAAATATATATATATAGCAAAAGTTAAGGTCTAATGGTGTATATATCAACATCATTAGAGACACAACCTTGGTAGGACTGAAGGAAAACTCATACAAATAAGATTTTATATCTACTTCACTTCTCTTCAGAACACTTTAATATAAAATATATCTAGATAAGCTCTTATCATGGGCAAGCATGAACATATAAATAACAGCTATTAAAAACTTGATGGTAGTAATTTTAGCCAGGACTATTATGCCAGGAAGTGTTTTAAAATCTTCATGTGTAGGAACTCATTTAATCTTCACAACTCCATACAGTAGATTCCATTACCTAGTCCATTTTTCTTACAGGATATTTAGAGGCACAAAAGTTTAAAGGATTTTTCCAAGATCACACATCCAGATAGCAAGATAGTTAGGATTTCTGAACCCCAGTAATCCAGCTCCAGTGTTCATTCTTGTAATCTCTATGCTACAGAACTTATTGTGTGCCAGAGACTTGACTTGTATTATCTGCAATTGTCCTGGCAGCCCTTGCACAGGGTCATACAGCTATGAAGATACACACCAACATTTTAATCTACTATCTTTATACTACATCCCACTATCTGCCTATTAGCAAAACCATGCATGATTAGTGGATGTTAGGGAGTGAATTGAGGAATAAGAAAAATATGTTGTTTAAAGGTAATCAGGAGTTAAATGAAACAATAGAGAGATAAAGATAAGAAATGAAAAACAATACTAGGAAATAGCCCAACACCTCTAGGGAATCCACCAATCATATGACAAGGAGATTACTAGTCCTGCCAGAACAACTGTAGAGAAAAATGATTGCTTAAGCTGCTTAAAATTAAAATTAATAATTTTAAATTAATAATTTGTAAATTTTCATGCATTTGTATAAATCATTTTACCCCAATTATTTTACATGGATATTACCTGTAGAACTGCATCAGTGAGATAAAATATGTTTAATTATTACTGATAGCCACAGTAATCACTATTTTAGACCAAGTACTACTAAATTAAAAAAAAAAACAACTTGGACAGAAAGCAAAAATCTCTTGGACAGGTAGATCTGAGGAGGAAGAGGGAAAGGAAGAGGGAGAGAAACCCCATTGTTGAGAATCAGTTTCAAAAACCACTCCTGGTTTTTCTTCTGCACAATTATTTTGCACAAACAGGAAAAATGGACATAATGACTGAAGGATGCCGAAATAATCCAACCAGTGCTTACAGCAAATGTATAAACATGCACACTATGACTCCCAGAAGTTTCCTTTTAATCCCCATTTGAAAGCCTCTCCCAAGTCTCATAGTAGAGGGTGGAAAGGAAATTGATTTCCCCAACTCACTCATGTACCACAACCACTACCACCACTAAAATTCCAGGAGTCTGAGACTAAAATATGTCCCCTGCACCCACTTCTAAATCTGCTCCCTTTGCGCTCTCACCTTCCTCTGTCTAATCAGTTTAGCCAGCTGTATTGCAGAAAGCAGAAGCAAGGGTTCGTTCACAGGACCGGTGGTTCTTGAGCCAAATTTTGGGCCGCCAAAGGCTCGAGCCGCTTGGCCTATTAGGCCTATGAGAAAACCTACTGCTCTCAAGAGAAGCAGCTGGATGCGGGCGCTGAATGGAGGTGCCATAGAGGCCTGGATTCCGCTGGGTCCTAGCGCTGGAGGGTTTCGTACACCCTGGGAAAGCAGGAGAAAAGACTAAGCAAAGAGCTAAAAAAGGATTCCTTTGGCTTACAAATCCAGTGTCTACCCACAATTCCACAGGAGCTTATTTGTCATCACCTGCTGGGCTCCTGGCCAGAGATGAGAATGGAGATGAACCCTTTTCAGCAGCTTACTGTATGACTGCAACCTGTGGTTAGTGCTGGCATAAATCCAACCTGGAAAATGAGATGTAGGAAAGAAGACTGGCTTTTAGGCTCTCCAGTTCTGCTACTGTATTGCCTTGTCCAATTTATACTAATCTCAAATTCAATTTGTTCATATAAAAAATGGGCATAATTACTTTGACATGAAATAGTTTTGATGAACAGCAAAATAAAAATAAATAAATAAATAAATCGCAACACAGTACAACTCATACCATATGTTATAAGTCGTAGCTATGATTTATTTCAGCTGTATCTGTGAAAAAAAGTGTTAGAAGTTTACATTTTTATATAAAATAGTATGATCAGAAAAAGTTAACTTGCAAGCATATACATTTTATCCACATGCACGTTACCTAATCCTTATAAACCCATTGTCAGGTAGTACTGATGAACATTAAATCTCCAGACCACATCACTCTTCTAAACGCAAGACACTTGAAATCCAATGTCCATTTGACATCTTCATGTGAATGTCTCACCAATTCTTCAAACTAAACATGTCCAAAAGTCATCATTTTCTCCCCAAACTTGCTGTTCCTCCAAATTCACAAGTAACATTTTCATGTACCCAGTGAATCACTCAAAAATCTGAAAATCCTCTCAGCTTCTTCCTTTACTCACATCATCATGAACAATAACCAAATCCACACAATGCCTTTCCCTTCCAACTCAGCCTCATTCTGATCTTATTGATGTTTACATGAACTTCTACAAATACTCTAGTTGATCACCCTGTCTTTATTTATGAATCCATATTTTTAATATACAAATTGGACCATGTTCCTCCCTTGCCAATGACTCTGCAATAATTCTACATCCTCCACAGGTTAAAGCCACATCTACTTTGGCATTCAGAGGTTTCACGATTGATGTCTGCAAAACTCTGTACTCTTCATCCTTCAAGTCTATGCTACAGCCAACAAGAGCTGAAAGTCCCCTTTCCCCTTTTTATCTGGTTAAGGACAAATATTTCAACTTTTCCCCGAGCTCCCAAATGCCTTTAATGGCACTCTTTAATTACCCTACACACTACAAATCAACAATATCAGAGTACTTCTCTTTTTAAACATAAATATTTTTATAGCTACTTGCCATCTAGAAGTGAACTCCTTGAAGAATAAGGCCATTTTAAACCTTCTTTATATTGTCAAAACTCAACATAGTACTTAGCATGCAGTTGACACTACTTTGTAAGTTAAAGGTAAGAGCTTATGAAAAGAATGAATGTTGACTTGATTTTGACATTTAGAGCCTTGGGTAGGTGCAACCTTTTCACTTGCAAAAGTCAGGTGAATAATCAAGGTGTCATCACAGCATGTCTAGCTTAATTGGAAGCACCTGATAGAATACAGGTTAATCAAGATAGGCACATCTGGCAGACCCAGTGAGCAAAGTATTTAAAGTAGGTTATCATAATCTAGATGCCATTATAATTTCAAGCAAAATCTTTGGTGAGTGAACTATTTTTTAATACCCTTATTTATTTATTTGTTTGTTTGTTTGTTTTTATTTGGTTCTGAGGATCGAACCTAGTGTCTTACACATGCTAGGCGAACACTCTAACTACAGTCCCAAGGGTGAACCATTTTTACCAGAAAGATCTTTGTCAAAATGGAAGTATATCCTTTGCCTGACTCCTGTTACTTATCTAAATTGTAAATGACCAATATATGAAGATGGTATGAAGAATGTTCACTGATTGGGGACTGAACAGAAAAAAATGGATTTAAATCTTAGGCTCACCTCGAATGTTTCTGATCTTGTACAAATCACATAATATCTCTGAATGTGTTTCTTCATCTGTAAAGTAGGATAACTGTTAATTTATGCTGTTATGAAAATTAAATGAGATATACATGTAAAGCTCCTGATGATGACTTTCTGGTACATATTCACTTGTAGAGGGCAAAGAAATATGCACAGTCTTGAGAATAAGGAAAATGTGTAAGAGAAATTCATTTTGTCTCAAAAGAAAAAAATTCTATATGAGACTGCAGGTGTGTATGTGTGTGTGTGTGTGTGTGTGTGTGTGTGTCTGTGTGTGTGTGTGTGAGAGAGAGAGAGAGAGAGAGAGAAATCTTCCCATCAAACTTAAGGTGGATTTATGTAATCTCATCATCCATTAGCAATCAAAGGTGAGACTTGGGAGTAATCTTTGATTCCTTACTAAATCTCATTTATCATTAGATATCTTAAGTCTAGTATATCTGCCACCTGTTTTTTTACTCCCACTTCCAGTACTACTAGCTAAATTATGTACTGGCTTACTTACTGGTCTTATGTTCCTTTCAGTCTGTTCTGTTTCAACACAATTCACTATGCTTATTTTTTTTCAGGCAAGTAAAGTATCTATTTATATGATATATATTTGGCCTTTATCATATCCTCATGAAACTGAGTATTATTGTCTATACCAACTTCATAGGGAAAAGGAATTTTTCATATTATTTAAATTTATATTTATTTACTTTAGAGAGATAATGAATGATAATCATTTTAAAATGATTATGGATTGTTTGTATACTATTGTGTGTAAGATTTTCTTTTTTCTTTTATTTATTTGTTTATTTATTCAAATTTTTTTTCTATATGACATTGAAATGCATTATAATTCTTATTATACATATACAGCACAATTTTTATATATCTAGTTGTATACAAAGTATATTCACATCAATTCATTTCTTCATACATGTACTTTGGATAATAATGATCATCACATTCCACCATTATTTCTAATCCCATGCCCCCTCCCTTCCCCTCCAAACCCTCTGTACTATCTAGAGTTCATCTATTCCTCCCATGCTCTCTCTCTCTATTACACTATATATCAGCCTCCTTATATCAGAGAAAACATTTGGCATTTGTTTTTTTTGGGATTGGCTAACTTCATTAGCATTATCTTCTCCAACACTATCCATTTATCTGCAAATGTCAAGATTTTATTCTCTTTTATATATATGCCACACTTTAAAAATCCACTCATCTACTGAAGGGCATCTAGGCTGGTTCCATAGTTTAGCTATTGTGAATTGTGCTGCCTATAAAAATTGATGTGGCTGTGTCCATGTAGTATGCTATTTTTAAGTCCTTTGGGTATAGACCCAGGAGAGGGATAGCTGGGTCAAATGGTGGTTCCGTTATAAATTTTCCAAGAAATCTCCATACTGTTTTCCATATTGACTGCAACAATTTGCAGTCCCACCAGCAGTGCATGAGTGTACCTTTTCCCCTACATCCTCGCCAACACTTATTGTTGTTTGTTTTCACAATAGCTGCCATTCTGACTAGAATGAGATTGAATCTTAGAGTGGTTTTGATTTGTATTTCTCTAATTGCTAGTGATGATGAATTTTTTTTATATATTTGTTGGTTAATTGTATATCATCTTCTGAGAAGTGTCTGTTCAGGTCATGGGCCCATTTATTGATAGGGTTATTTATTTTCTTGGTGCTTAGCTTTTTGAGTTCTTTATATACCCTAGAGAATATAGTTCTCTATCTGACGTGTGAGGGGTAAAGATTTGTTCCCAAGATATAGGCTCTCTGTTCACCTCACAGAATGTTTCTTTTTGTGATAAAAAAAAAAAAATTTCAGTTTGAATCTATCCCATTTATTGTTTCTTGATTTTAATTCTTGCACCCAAGGAATTTTATTAGAAGTTGGGGCCTAATCCCACATGATGGAGATTAGGGCCTACTTTTTCTTCTATTAGATGCAGGATCTCTGGTTTTATTCCTAAGTCCTTGATCCATTTTGAGTTTCGTTTTGTGCATGGTGAGAGATAGGGATTCAATTTCATTTTGTTGCATATGGATATCCAATTTTCACAGCACCATTTGTTGAAGAGGATATCTTTTCTCCAATGCATGTTCTTGGCACCTTTGTCTAATAGAAGATAATTGTAGTTTTGTGGGTTAGTCTCTGTGTCCTCTACTCTGTACCATTGGTCTACCGGTCTGTTTTGGTGCCAATACCATGCTGCTTTTGTTACTATTGCTCTGTAGTATAGTTTGAAGTCTGGTATACTGATGTCACCTGTTTCACTCTTCCTGCTAAGGACTGCTTTAGCTATTCTGAGTACCTTATTTTTCCAGATGAATTTCATGACTGCTTTTTCTATTTTTATGGGGAATGTCATTGGGATTTTGACTGTATGCTTTGACTGTATGTGCTTTTGGAAGTATGGTCATTTTGATAATATTAATTCTGCCTGTCCAAGAGCAAGGTAGATTTTCCATCTTCTAAGGACTTCTTTGACTTGTTTTCTTTAGGGTTCTGTAATTTTAATCATATACAACTTTCACTTCTTTCATTAAGTTGATTCCCAGATGTTTTATTTATTTATTTATTTTGGGGGAGGCTATTTTAAATGGAGTAGTTTTCCTCATTTCCCTTTCTAAGGGTTTGTCATTGATATACAGAAATGTCTTTGATTTATGAGTATTGATATTTTATCCTGCTACTTTGCTAAATTTATTTACTAATTCTAGAAGTTTTCTGGTGGAAAACTGTAGGGACTTCTAGGTATAGAAACATATCATCAGCAAATGGTGACAATTTGAATTCTTCTTTTCCTAAGTGTATCCCTTTAATTTCTTTCTCTCTTTTTTTTGACACAAAGCTAACAAAAAACTATTTTATGTTCTTATCAACTGGCAATATATTTTTGTATTTTAGCTATTGTGGGTGATATATAGTAAAGTGGGTTGAATTTTCATTTCTCCGGTGACTAATAATGTAGTACAACTTGTGCTT